TAGTGAAAAATTGAAAGGCTTTCCTCTGAGATTGGGAACAAAACAAAGATGCCCACTCCTGCCACTTCTATGCAACATAGCATTGGAAGTCCTAGGCAGAGCAGTGAGGCAAGAGAAAGAAAGAAAAGGCATCCAGATAGAAAAGGAAGAAGTGAAACTGTCATTGTTTGCTGATGATATGATCTTATACACAGAAAACCCTAAAGACTACACCAGAAAACATGAGGACTAATTAATGAATACAGTAAATTTGCAGGACACAGAATCAGCGCAAAAATCAGTAGTATTTACGCTAACAAACTATCCAAAAAAGAAATAGAGAGAACAATCTCATTTACAATAATGACTAAAAAAATTAAAATACTTGGGAAAAAATTTAACCAAGGAGGTGAAAGATCTGTACACTAAAAACTATAGAATACTGATGAAAGAAATTGAAGACACAAAAAATGGAAAGATATGATATCCTGTGTTTATGGACTGCAAGAATTACTATTGTTAAAATGTCCACACTACCCAAAGTGATCTATAGATTCAATGCAATCCCTATCAGAATTCCAATGAAATTTTTCACAGAAATAAACAATCCAGAAAAAAACACACAAAAAAGAAAAACAAAACAAAAAAGTTAGAAAAACAAAACAAACAAGAAAAAACCATCCTAAAATCCATACGGAACCATCAAAAACCCCAAATAGCCAAGGCAATCATGAGCAAAAGGAATAAAGGTGGAGGCATCACACCACTTGATTTCCAACTATTCTACAAAGCCACAGCAACTGAAGTAGTATGGGACAAGTTGAGTGGCCCATGTGAAATGCTCCAAAATCTGAAAATTTTTGAGTGCATGACACTCAAAGGAAATGATTGTTGCAGTGTTTCAGATTTTAGATTTCCAAATTTGGGATGCTCAACTGGTGAGTATAAACGCAAGTATTCTGAAATCAGAAACACTTCTGATCCTAAGCATTTTGGATAAGGGATGCTCAACCTGTACTGGCAAAAAAAAAAAAAACCCCAGATACATCGACCGACAGAACAGAAAGCCCAGAATGAACCCAAGCACATACGGTCAACTGATTTTCAACAAAGTGCTAAGAATATACAATGGGAAAAGGACAGTCTCTTCAATAACTGGAGTGGGAAAACTGGATAGTCACATGCAGGAGAATGAAATTGGACCCTTATCTCATAACATATAGAAAAATCAACTCAAAATGGATTAAACACTTAAATGTAAGAACAGAAACTGTAAACCTACTAAAAGGAAACATGAGAGGAAACCACATAACACTGATCTGGGAAATAATTTTTTGGATTCAAGCCCCGAAGAGCAGGTAACAAAAGCAAAAATATACAAATAGGGTTACATCAAACTAAGAAGCTTTTTACAGCAAAGGAAACAACAGTATAAATAGTCAACCTACAGACTGAGAAAACACATTTGCAAGCAATATGTCTGATAAGGGGTTAATATCCAAAATATGTGAGGCCAGAGGGTTGACACCAGCCTGGGCAACAAAGTGAGATCCCATCCCTACAAAAATTTTCTAAAAAAATTAGCCGTGCATGGTGGTTTGCACCTGTAATCCCAGCTAATCCAGCCTGGGTGACAGAGCAAGACCATATCTCTTAAAAATGTGTGTGTGTGTGTGTGTGTGTGTGTGTGTGTGTGTGTGTGTGTGTGTGTGTGTAACTCTAACAGCTCAATAAGAAAGCAAACAAACTTGATTAAAAAATGGAAAGGGGACCTGAGTAGACATTTCTCAAGGACAACATACAAATGGCCAACCGATACATGAAAAAATGCTCCAATTCACTAATTAGAGAAATGCAAATTAAAATCACAATGAGATATCATCTCATACCTGTCAGAATGGCTATCATCAAAAAGACAAAAGAAAACAAGTGTTGGCAAGGGATGTGAAGAAAAGGGAATCCTTGTACACTGTTGGTGAGAATGTGAATTAGTACAGCCATTATGAAAAACTGTATGTAGGCTCCTCCAACTAAAAACGGAATTATTTTTATGATGATCCAGCAATTGCACTTCTGCAAATTTCAACTGTTGTCTAGGAACTAACATATCTCAGAATCTATTTAAGTAAACCTTGAAAATATTTGCCATTTTCAAAGAAAGGAGAGAGAAAATTAAACAAATAGGACTATAACAAACTAGAGGCAAAATTGAAAAATACTGTCTTTAAAGTGTATACTCCACATTAAATATTTTTCAACTATCCCAAATTCAAAATATTATGCCAAACAACTTGAAACAAAGTTTTTATATCATTATCATTATTAATTCGACTTTATATTAATAGAATATATCCATACCTCCATTTTAGCATTTGTCCACCGAGGTACTTCTACAACCATATTAAACAAATTCTGTGGTTAAAAAGAAACAAAAAACAAAGAGAGAACGTAAAAATTTTTGCCTATCTTTCATTTTTTCATTTATCTCCCTTACAAAAATGCTTTAGGTTTATCTCGTGCCAAAAATGTTTAGAATCTGCATCATATGTCTACCTGTGCCTTAAATTTCTTCTAAAAACTAGAGAAGTTGTTTAAAACACAGAATTTAAGCCACCATGTCACCTGAGCACTACTGCACCATGTCAGAGGTCACTACGTGTCTGGAAATACCTTTGCAGTGTAGCGACAGAACTAGAATGAAGTCGGGAAATGTGTTTTGATTTTTATCTTCCAACCAAAATTGAGAGACTAAGTTCCTCATGTGAGGATTCGGTCTCTCATTTCTAATCTGGAAAGTAAGTGTGACAATCTCTGTCCCACTCCCCACACAAGGTTGTTAGAAAGATCAATTCTATAATTTCAAATGAACACACAGAAAATTAAAAAGTAAAATATTTTGAAAATTATAAAACAATATTTAAATGCAAGTTACGATCACAACGTAAAATTAAGGATATCAGTATAGGCCATTATATAGTTCACAGAGAGTTAGACTAAATTTTGTAAATTTAGCTTGTGTATCTAGCAATTTTAGATTCCTTAAAGTTACAAAAGGACCATTGTTTCTTTTTTTTAATTCTGAACTTTGTAGAATGCTTAAACACAGGGAGACTCTACGTCAGTGGTGAGTAAAAATAATTTCCCATAGTTTGCCTACAAAGAGAAAGTCTTAAGGTGAAAGCTGGTTTGCACGCCATTGTAACATCAGTAACTAACAATTTAACATGGAGAAGTGACTGTTTAAAACGGTGCACTCCGAGTGCGGCCATGGACCAGGGCTAATCTGCAAACTGCCTGTTACTGGCTCACTGAGCAACATTTATAGCAATTTGAAAGAGTAATTTTTACATCTGTCGATGTAAAATCTAATAATCAAAAATTGGAACTTGAATTGTACTTTTCTAATAATTCATCTTGATTGATTTTTTTTAAAGTATCAGTCTTGACAGGTTAGAAATAAACTCACAAAAAAACTAGCTCTTCACCACAGATCATTCGGGAGGCAGTGATTTACCATACTTTTCAATCATTCCACACATCAAAATCGCCAGGCCAGTCTTAACCGATAAAGGAAAAAAAAGATTCACAGAGCCCACCTCTCAGCTACCTGAATTCACCTGGTCTGGGGTGGAGCCAGGGCACCGCTTCTGTTTAAAGTCTCTCCAAGCAATTCTAACACGCAGCCGGAGTTGGTTTAAACATTGCTAAACAATGTCACTGGGGGTTTCTTAGTGAAACATGGAATGCTATTAATTCAAATAATACCATTTGCACAATTAAATGTAAATATATATTGAGCCATAAAAATAATCATGTTTTTAATTAAGTTTTTCCAGATAGGACTAAAGGTTACAAACAGCAAAACCACAAATCCGAGAGATAAACAAAGCTAAGAATGAATTCTCAGAAATTGCTCCTTAGAGTGTGCCTCGCGCCTGTCTCAACTACCTCGCACACAGCCCGCTGTTACGTTTCACTGTCTGTGCTCTTGCATGAGGGTCCCTGCACCTATTTAAATGTGTCTGAAGTAGCTGCTAAAAAGAAAAACCAAAGTAAATGGCAGATGTTCACATAATTTATTCATCCCTGAAAGCCCGGCTATAAGAGAACAAATGCATGTGGATGAATACTCAGAGGTACAGAGAAGACCAAGCTCATGACGACGGTTTTACAGAATGACACCTACCAAAGCCACTCACAGGGGATTGAATCGGGCCAAAAGAACAACAGATGATGTTGAATGTTAAGCCTGCAAACCACACTCTCCCTCCTCATTCGCTCCTAATCACTAAGAGCTGATTTCCAGCCAGGCTTTCTTCTCTCCAGCTTAAATCCATTTGGCCCATAATTTTGTAAAGCCAATGTTAGTCTGGTTTTCCTAAGACGAGTGTTAATTATAAACCAACAATGGTCTGCCAAAAGTTATTAGAAAATCAAAAACATAAACGGGGCACAAATCAGATGAGAAAGTTGTGTGTGTGGCAGGGACGTTGAATTCCTCCTTCAGTTCCTTTTTTTCTCTCCATTTTTTCCTTGTATTTTTGTTGCAGAAATCAAAACCAAAAACTAATAACATACATTAAAAAGCAGTCAGTATGTTTTATATATGTGGGGAAAAAATAGGAAGAAATCCCCCTTTTTTCCTCTCTTCAACTTTTGAATAAACTCAAATCAGACAGTCTTCAACATACAAACTGTGTTCTAAGGATTAAATTTTAACTTGGCTGTCTGGACTCAGAATATGTTTTGCCCATTGAGACAAAGTCCCTGGGGACCTACAGAGCCTGGAGTCCCCGAACGTCCACCCAACATCTAGGGTAGTGGTTCTCAAACTTCATGATTAGGGTGCCCCTGGGACACTGTTGAACATGTGGATTGAATCAGGCCTCATAAAGCAGAGAATCCAATCTGCTAGAGATGGGATGGGGCCAGGGATCTGAATTTTTAACAAGCACTCTAAGTGGTTCCAGTGTAGGTGGTTCAAGGACCATGTTGACAAACGTCAGTGTAGAAAAACAGAAGATGGATACCAGGCAAAGGCTGCAGGAATTACGCAGCCCCCATAGCTATGTTTGGAAGTGGATTCAAAGGCTGGGGTCCCAAGTTTCAGCTGGGATGGAGAACAGATGGAAATAAGGCTGGGAAGGTAAGAAGGCAGGAAGGGGGCAGGAAAAGCTGCCTGGCACAGCAGGATAAAAGGACACCTGTCTCGAGAGATGAGATGACAGACATCGATCAAATGTTCTGGTCCTACATCAAGAACTCTTAAAGGTCCGACAGCCACATATTTAAAAGGTATTTTTAGAATATATTTATTTTAGCATATAGTCGGTATAACAGTTTTTCTTCTCCTCTACTCCCAAAAGACTACTGTTCGTGGATTCTAAAACAGCCTCTCAAACCATCTTCTCACTTAAAATAATAATAACAAAAAAGATAAACTGACCAATTTTCATGGTGTACATTCACTGTACGCCATCTACCATGCTAAATAACCTGCTGTTAAAATCTGGATTCCTGTCCTAAGGTTTTTCACTTACGAAGTGAAATGGTAACGATGTACCTAGAACATTCACATCCACAGAGACAAGAGAGTAGAACAGTGGTGACCAGGGGACTGAGAGAGGGAGGAAATGGGGAGCTGTTACATGTGTTCAGAGTTTCAGTCTGGGGTCGTGAAAAAGTTCCGGAGACGGACGGTGGTGACAACAGCACAGCAGCGTGCAGGTACTCAGCGCCACCGCACTGCACACTGAAGAAAAGATTAAAATGACAAATCTTATATTATGAATATTTCGCTACAATAAAAACATTAAGTGGTGACATCTGCCGTGGCTGCCTTAAAGAAACACATCGGAAGGGACACATCAGAATGCACGTGAAAGTCTTGCAGGGGGAAAAATTCAGAAGCATTTTACAAATGCAAACTATCATCAAGGTTATAACAGACAGTATAAAAATAGTTTACAAAAATAAAAACTTTTAGACATACCTCATATTCATCATTTCGTGCTTTCTTTGTAGGAATGCCATTTTCCTATAAAAGAAAAGACGGTATTTATGATTGTAGTATTTCATGAAAGAATACAGTTTCATTGCACAGCAATAAAAATATGACTATTGCATTAACATTCTACTCCAGAGGCTGTCCAGAAATCTGATTCGACAGAGAACCTGCCAAATTCCCAGTGAGTTTTCCCCCAGGATGTGAACCCCCAGTGAACAGAGCAAACTGTTCCATAAAATAAATCATCAGAGAAGCTAAACCTTTTTCAAGTATATTTTCCCAGTTTTTATAAAATAAGCAAAGGCTCTGTTCCGTCTTTAAGGAAAGAATGGCAGTTTCCAGTGATTACGCTTAAAACAGTCATTTCATTATTGAAATGAAGCTCCAGGGAGCAAGACTAACAAGCCGTGAAAGTGCTCAGCTGCACCTCCCGCCTGCGAATTCCGCCGAGGTGTGATTACCGCGTCTCCACCAAGCACTTTTACATTAAAGCGGATCACGTGGTGGGTGGGGAAGAAAAATTATGCCATTCACAAATGTTCACCCAGTGTGCATAATAACATTTACACACCAAAATCACCATTAATGAAGGAAACAAATAAACAGAAAAATAATTATTCCAAGTCAGCCCTGAAAGATGACTTCTGTTCCTAATACACCACATCCTGAAGTACAAGGTACAAGAGCTCTGGTCATTACAGGCTGGGAACTAGGGAAACCTATTATACAACCACTGTGTGTACCATCTCCGGATGTCCAGAATTCGCTGGCCTGCCTTCTCCTCAATTTTGCCTAATCCCAAATCTCATATTCCCCCAAAATACATCCCTCCTTAGACAGAATGTTATGCCCACTAATATGTTTCTGGCTCCCTCTCTGTTCCACCTCCACCCTTCCCTACTACACAATTCTCAAATACAGCTCTATCATTATTGTTACACACAGATTTTGTTATAGTATCATCCTGACAACATCCACCAGTAACTCTTTACAACTCCCTGTGTATTTTTATAGCACTTAACATCATCTGATTGACTTGTGTGTTTTCTGGTTGTCTGTCTCCCGCAACTGCGTGGGAACTGCATCTATCTTATTCATCACTACACCCCCAGTGCCTGTAACAGTGTCTGGCTCGCAGTAAAGATGCAATGATTATTTATTAAATGGATAAATTAATGAACAAATGAATGTACGAAGTTTGGGCCAGAAGCAAGGAGAGGTGTTGGGAGACATGAGATATTTAGGTTTGAGCGTTCACTGGCCAAAACAAACCACATGGACATGGGGAGACGGACACAGACACAGACACACACACACACTCTCTCTCTCTCTCTGAGATACACACAGTAACAGAGTTCTTTCTGCCTCTCTTTGGTTTCTTTCTCTCTCCAGATTATATGACCCCTTGTCCTATAGCTGAGCATTTAAAAGCAATGAGCTGGAGGAATTACACAGGAGAAGTGAAGAGTACGTGTTCTGGATTTGGAGCACCTAAACTCAGTCCCACCTCCACATCAGACTAGACTTGTAACCACGGGCAGGATACTTAAACAAAATACGGGTAAGTGACAGTAGCTCCGGAAGGGCTGAGACAATGTATGTCAGGCACTGAGCACAGAGCCTGGCTAAGCGCCACAACCACCTGATAAATTCTCACTGTTATCGTCCCTTTTGCCATCACTATGGACAGTTCCACACTCTGAAGGGGCGGAAGGCAGAAAAGATCCCACTTCAACCCTCCGTGACCTCTGTGTGATGTGTGATCTTCAGCCTCTGAGGAGGGCGACACCAAGGACCTTGGTCCAAGGTCAAAGCACCCTTGCCTACGAAGCAGCTTCCTCACTTCTCCACCAGCCTCTGCCCCTATGCTGATCACCCACAGTACTGGAAAACCCAATCCCATTAACAGGCCCCGTATGATCTCAACCTGGAACGGGGTCCTGGTTATTTACCTAACAACTGTGCCCCCTAAACAAATTTGATCATTCACTACTTGGATTTTAAGGAAATAACTTCCAATCGATGATGATGATTAACATCCAGTACCAAATACGCCATCTTACCAACGAATCAGGAGAGACATCAAAATGTCCCAATGATTCTGAGGCCCAAATCAATGATTGTGATGCTACAGCAGCTCTACTCAACCGGTAACTTTTACGCCCTGACAACTGTCAAACGATTTCAAGTTCTGAGAGAGTAACTAGTCAAACACCATCATTCTTTCCCAGCTCGATTTTTCTAGCACCTGTTTCACAGAGTGGGTAAAGAGCATGAGCTTTGTGGACAGAAATGCTAGCTTCTGGCTCCGGCACTTAACGGGTGTGTGATCTTAGACGAGACAATAAAATACCTTCAGCCTCAGTATGCTTGGAGATAATGACAGAAACTCATAAAGATCAAGTCAAGAAACATATGTTCACATGGTGATGCAAACAGAAAATAACCCACACATGTACTATTATTTAAAAGAAACCTCTTACTAATCTCCTAAATTATTATCCTTTAATCCTTATTTCCTACTAAATTCTAAGCTTTATGGACCACAAAGACTCCTTTCTCCCAAGTCCCCGGGAAGAAACCTATTCTCACACAAATTTTAATTCATAAAGGCAACTTGTGACCCTGTTACAGTAACTCCTGCTTCTGCTCCCGATTTCCAACTGCATTCTTTCCTTTCAAGGCTCTTTCAAAAAGCATTTTATGGTGATATTAGAAATAAGTATTTCCATCCCCAAAATAAGCCAAAACAATACCTCTTTAGAGTCCACCTTCAGAGGGATATCATGAAAGGGGGAAATGTAGTGACCAGCTACATTCTCTGGAAAGAACAACGACAACAAAAAACAATTAAAGCAATAGATGCACTGTTATTTACAGCAATAATATCCTTATCCCCTTTTAAACATACCCACTTTTTTCAAAGCTAACTTTAACTCCCAATTTAAAGTTTTATTCAACTTTCAAAACTTGCCCCCATCTGAGGGTCAACGAGAAATATACACAGACTCACCCAAATTTAGATTGCTGAAATTATTTACTTATTCCTGTGACTTAAAGCATTCAAAGTGAAAAACGTCTAAAATAGATTTAAACCCAGAATATGAAAATTCTCACTTTTGAAAAAAGGGTTCAGTGAATTGGATTAAAACCGATGCCCTCGTCGCAGGGGTTAACGGAGTGAGGAGCAGAGAGGGGAGGTGACACAAGCCACACAGCAGGTCACTAACAGGCCAGGTTGGCACCAAGGAGCCCTGACGGTCGCCGCCAGGATGCTCTTCCCCTAACCATCCTGTCTCACTTTATACCGTTTCTACAAAGCTTCGCACTAACTAAAAAAAAAAAAAAGTACTAGCTCAACCATTTACTTTGATTCTTCTGAACAGCAATAAAGGGAAACCGTTTTCAGAGATGAGGCTCAAAAAATGCTCTACCCCCAGCGCGCTACTGCAGAGACTGGGGATGCATTTGGAAACAGGAAAAGTTTTCAGAGTGAGACAGAATTACCCCGTCGTGCCGCACATAGACGCGATCTGAGTTAAAAGTATCCCATTTGTGGCCGGGCGCGGTGGCTCACGCCTGTAATCCCAGCTCTCTGGGAGGCCGAGGCGCACGGATTGTTTGAGCTCAGGAGTTTGAGACCAGCCTGAGCAAGAGCGAGACCCCGTCTCTACTAAAAATAGAAAGAAATGATCTGGACAACTAAAAATATATATATAAAAAAATTGGCCGGGCATGGTGGCGCATGCCTGTAGGCCCAGCTACTCGGGAGGCTGAGGCAGGAGGATCGCTTGAGCCCAGGAGTCTGAGGTTGCTGTGAGCTAGGATGACGCCACGGCACTGTAGCCCGGGCAACACAGTGAGACTCTGTCTCAAAAAAAAAAAAAAAAAAGTATCCCATTTGTGACCGTCTTTAGGAAAGCGATTCATGGCTTCCCCTTGCCCGCCCCGCCCAAAGCAGCCTCCGGCCCCTCGGCCCTGCCCCTCAGCGAAGCGTCCGCCAACGGCGCGAGCCAGCGCTGCCCCCTGGCGGCGGGCTCGGGGACTGCCTGCCCCAGCAGAGCCCACCCTCTGGGCCCTTCCCGCAGAGCCTGTCCATTCGCCTCAGCACCACCTTTTTCTTCCGTTCTGCCCCGTTTCTCCAACTGAGTGAAAGACGTATTCACGGCACTCTAGTTCCACACAAACCACGAGTCTGAAGCGCATCTGCTGCTAAAGAAACAAATGGACGGCGAGAGGCCAACGCGGCCTCAGAGACGCCTCCAGTCGAGGCCCGGCCCCAGCGGAGGCTGCCATTCTCGACGGTTCCTCCAACACCTGCAGGAAGCGCCGACCGCGACGAGGGCCTCGAGGACTGCTTCAAGGTCAAGCGATGCGTTTCCCAGCGGAACTGGCCCCAGGAGGAGGCAACGACGCCATCGCCCGCGCAGCAGCGGACAGGGACCGGCAGAGCCCCGACGAAGGCCGGCCCCCGAGGCCGTTTTCTCTCAGCCAGCGCTCCAGGGAAACGTTTCTTCAGCGTTTCCACATCGTCCTCGATGAATTGAATCAGCGGTGTGGGTGGCTTGAGGGCGGGGCCCGTCCCTAAATGTCCCCTGTCCCGTGGCACACCCCGTAAGTGTTTGCCGACTGACCCGGCATCATTCGTGACCGCACTGCGCAGCAGACAGGCTTTCATCTGCCTAAATGCTGCCGCCATTTCCCAAACTTGTTTCTGCGGAAAACTGTCCGTGCGACCCGGTGGCCTTCCGGAACACGACCCGGTCACAAATCCGCGAGGTCCCGTCGGGGCCGGGCGGGAGGAGGAGGGTCGCGCGGAGGAGGGAAGCTTTGAAGAACCGGGAATCTCGCTGCCCGGCGCGTCCGTCACGTGACTGTCGGGCGAGCTCCGTCTGCGCCGCGTAAAGTGACCCTCGACCCTGAGCTCCAGCGGGACGACCGCGAACATTCCACAGATCACGGGAATCCATGCCGGCCGCCGTCACCGCGAACAGCGCCGTGTGTTCTGGGCGCCGGGGCGAGGGGCTCCGCAGACGCGGCGGCACGTCGTTCTCGCGGCCCGACGCACAGACGGCGGAGCCCGCGGGGCCCACCGGGCTCGAAGACGGGGAACGTGAGACCCGCGCGCGGACCTGGAAGCCTCCGGGCCGGCGCCGCCCGCGGGCGCGCGGGAAGGCGGGTCCTCAGGGCTCGGGGACGCGGCGCGACGCCCGGGCGGCAGAGGAACGGAAGCCGCGGAGACTCGGGCCTTCCTGCCTCGGTGGGCGGCTCGGGGTCCGGACGGGTCCCTTCGCCCGCGGGGCCCGTTCCGTGGGGCGGAGCACGGGGCCGCCCTGAGGCCGCGGGGAGCCTGGGCCGCGATCGCTCTGCGGGGCGAACTTTAGCGTACACTCGTGTTTCGGGGAGCAGACCCGCAAACAGGCGACCCGCAGAACGCGGCGGCGTTTCCGAGGCCCCGCGCGGAGGGGCTTCCTCAGGCGCCCGGAAGCGGCCGCCGGACCTGCGCCTCCCTCCCCTCGCCGTCTGTCCGCGCCCCACGCGCTCCGGGCGGCCCCGCTCGGTCTGCCGCCCCCGCGCTGCAGCTGCCGCGGCTCGGCGCCGACCCTGCGTGCGGGAAGGCGACCTCGCCCGCGCGGCGGCCGGCGAGGGCCCGCAGGCGGGAGGGAAGGAGGCCGGGCAGGAAGGAGGCCGCGCGGGCGCCCTCGGTCCCCTCCCCGGGCGGCGCGCGCGGCCCGCGAGCTACTCACTGAAGAAGACGCGGTAGTCCTGCGAGCAGGGCTGGCCGCGCTCCTCGGTGCGGTACAGGGCCATGGCGCGGCGGGGCCCCGGCCGGGCGCTCGCCCCCCTCGGCAGGCAGGTCGCGGCGGCGGCGCCCGCGCGCCAGCCCCGGCCCGTGCGCAGCAGCGGCAGCAGCGCGCGCATGGCGTCCTCCGCGGCCGCGCTCGGCGCCGGGACTCGGCCCTGCCGCGCGCCGGCGCCCCCTGCCGCCCGGAGTCGCCACTGCCGGCGCGGGTCGGAGCCGCGTGTCTGCCCGGGAAGCCGAGCGCCCCGCACGCGCCCACGGTCGCACATGGGCAGGACGGGGCCGCCGCCCCCAGGAGCTCGCTGCCACCTCTTGACTCACTCATTCATTCATCCATCCATTCATTCATCCCGCACGTCTGTGCAACTGTCGCGCCCCCTGTTTCACCCTGACCTGCCCCCCAGATTGTAGGTCCGCCAAGTCCGACGCCTGGACGCTCGGTCGCATCCCTGCAGCGCGCACCGCGCTGGGCGTGCGATCCTGTCCCTTTTGCTATAAGTTGCTCCCGAAATTCCCGCCCTGCCACATCTTTCCCATCCGCGTCGGGAATTCTGGTTAGAGAGCTTTCCAGAAACACTTGCTGAAAAAGTGGTCCAGAGTCATTCTTTGAACTCCCCTCGTCTCAATAAAAGGCTTCCTCCACCTTTCCAGGGTCATCGATGACCTTGGTGTCAAATACGAAGGTCAATTCTCCCAATAAGTAGGAGTGAGAGAATCCAGAAGAGAGCAATCAATAAGATTTTTTAAATTAGAGACTAAAACTTTTAAAGACAATTAAATATTTCACTTACTGAGTACATAAAAGTGAAAGCAAGAAGAGTAGTGATTTTACAGAAAGAGGCAAAGAAATGTGCACTTACGGTCTTTGCAAAAACAAAGCCAAATCATTTTAATTAAAAGAGAAAGCATTGTAAAAATAATCTTCTGATTTAAAATACTGCAGTAAAAAGTGGATTATAAATGAGATTTTAATAAGCACAATGAATGCTAAATTCATGAAAAATACAATTCTAACTTAAAATTCTGCCTCTTACTAGATAAGACTTACATCTTTATGTAGATTTTGTTAACTCATTTATAGTAATTAAGTCACAAATGCAGATTTGATCCTGGTCTAAACTAGTTTACAGTTCCGTGCCATAGCTACGAACTACACCCTCTGGTTAATAATGATAATAAGACAGACACGATATTTAAAACTAACCTTTGCTGACAAAAATCTGAAAGCAAACATCTTACCGAGATGGCTCTGTAGCCATTGTTCAGCTTTATGTAGAGAGAATAGTACTTCCATGGAGGCAGTAGTCAGAATTTCGAACAACATAAATTTCTGGGGGTAGCTGGTGCAAGCGAATTCTATCTTCTTGCTTTGATGTGTTTGACTTCCATTGTCAGGGTCACCTCATAGTTTAAGAGGCTTTTACAGCTACGACATCACATCCTCATTCCACCTGGCTGGAAAGAAGGAAGAGAAGGAGTGTGTGCCCCTTCCCTTAAGAACACTTCCCTTGCTTAAGTAGGGATTGGACTGAAAAAAAAAAATTAAAAAAAAAAAAAAAGAACATTTCCTAGAAATTGGGAATCAATGTGATATATCATGACAACATAATGGAGGACAAAAACCATATGATCGTTGCAACTGATGCTGAAAAGCATTTGGATCTCTCTTTATGACTGTCCTTATTAAAAAGCAGGTAAGAGATCTACCCTTTACATTTTTTTAGAAAAACGTTTTTCTTCCTTACTTTAAAAGAAATTTTGATGCAAGTGTCAATGAAACAAACCGTCTAAAACAGGCTCAGCAAATAGAGACTTCTTTGGTTGACAAATGAGAAATTAGTTTTATTCCCTTTTGTTTTGGGGAAAAAAAGGAATTTTTAGCATGTAGAAATTCTTTTCTTATTTCATCTATGTGAAAATAAACCCAGGTCCTGAGGCCCATATACTTCTTAAAAATAGAAAAGAGGACAATTGAATTGATTTTCACCAAGCCCCAGTGATGTGCACATTTGGTATTAAGCTTTCAGTCTTTCTGGATATTTACTAAATTAGACATAATAAAATGTATCCATCATGCAAGTATCATATGTGATTTAAAGGCACATTGTTAAATGGCATGAAAAAAACAGAAAGTTTTGCTTGATTACTGCTTCTAGGCTAAAATAATCATGAGAAATTTCAGCTCCTAATGACACATTATAAATCCCTTGTAATATTATAAATATAGTAATCATGGTAATACTCTAATCCAATTCAAGGGTTGAGCTACTAAATTGGTGATAATGTGTCCTGTACAAAATTTAATGAGACAACCCATTTTCGCTGCCCACTTTCTAGATTTCCCCTTTAGGCCTTGAGCAGTGGAAATTAATTTTGTTTTAAAATGGTTTAACTATAGAACTTCAATTTTTTTCTCTTTTATACATATTCTAATTATATGGAATAATAAGTTTCAAATTGGATTCAAAAGAACCCTGGGTTCCAAAGGCAATTCCTTGAAATAAATTTTATGTAATCCGCTGCAAGAAAATGTGAACAGGATTAATTTATATAGGACCTCCTGCCCACAACAAAAATGAATCTTAGGGTTCAAAAACATAATGTGGAACGGTTTCATAATTTCGGTTTATGATGCTTGTGATGAGAAACGTCAGAAACTCAGCAGCTGAGAAGTTTTTCTTGTTAGAAAATTATGTTTTTGGAAAGAGGACTCTTCCTTTCCCTCCGTCTTTTAATCAACCCTTCCTTCATTGCACTGGTATTTACTGAATATGTACTCTGTGTCAGGAGGCATGATTGTAACTAGATACAGAATGGTGAAAAAAAATGGGAAAATTATCTGTCCTTCTGGTACTTAGAATCTAGTGACGGATTCAGGCATTAAACAAACAATTGTTTAAATCTGTTAAGATTAAAAATTGAAATAGTGCCATGAAGAAAAGTGTGGGAAGCCTGACAGAGAGTAATACGGAGATGCGACTTATGCTGAGGCCCAGGGAAGGCCTCTCTAAGGGTATGGCACTTTAAGTGGCTCGTGGCTCTAGGGGCACGATTCTTGCTTAGGATATGGCGTCTCAGCAGACTGCTAAAGGAAAACTAGGAGACAGCCAAGGGAAAACTGGTATAGGGAAGAGAATGTGCAAAGGTCCTGAGGCAAAATTTTCCTGAGAAATGTTTTCTGATAAAATATTTGCCAAAATACAGTATATGACATATATATTTGTCACAGGCTGGATTCTCCAGGGAGAAGCAGAGCCTGCCCCGGGATATTTATTAGGGAGCATCTTTGCAGTCAGCTCCTGTGGAAGGATTTGAAAGATTCAGGATTTGGCAGAGGAAGAAGTCTAGTTGCAATGTAGACCCAAATAACAGCTTTGGCTGATCTTACAGGAAGTACTAGAGCTAAAATGGCAGGTCAGAGTTGTCTCCCGACACCTGGCTGGGCCTTTATAACCCGCCCTCCTCACGTCAGTCATCAGAGGTAGGTGATCCCTGCAGGGACCGATGGCTGAAGGCCCTCTGCTAACCGCACTCCCTGCAGCTGAGACAAGTTCTTCCTTGAAGGAAGACCTAGGTGGCACAGCTCCACGTCCATCGCAATATTCAACACTATAAAAAGCTCTTACAAATCAATACAAAGAAAAACAGCCCAGTAACAAACTGAATAGAAGATAAAAGTTGGGAATTCACAGAAAAGTTACAAATCATTTAATAGAATACATAAAAATATGTGCAACTATTGTTGGCAATAAGGAAAATGCAAACTAGCATGAGAAGCCTTTTTCTTTTGTTTTTGTTTTGCCGTGCATTGCGTGGGCAAAAATTTAATGAGTGACAATATCCATGGTAGGTGCAGGTATAACAACCTCACTGCACTCATCCTGGGATTCCTGGACAGAATTCCTCTTGCCGTGATACAGCTTCCTTAGCGACGGAGCACCCCTGGAAGACGGTGTTTCAGAGTTTGCAATAACCAAGGGGAATTTCCACACTGGAGGGGAAAATAATCGACTTAATTATAAAATATAATTTTTTCCATAGAGACACTTAATATCGTGTACTCTAAAAATAAGAGCCTTTCCTGTTGTACGTGAGATAAATAACAGTACCTCTAACACAAAGAAGTATGCCTTAATTAACATACCTTGTTAGTTTTTTTTTTTTATGCTTTGAATTAAAGGACTTTCATGGCAGTAGCCATAATTGGAGTTTCACTTTTATGTAAAAAATGACTCTGCGCAGCCCCATTCCCGGTCTCAGTTTAGAAGCCTCCCAAGAAGGGTCTCCCACGGCCTGGGATCTGCGCCTCTCAGGACCCGGAGCAGCGGAGCCGCACTCAGAGTTCGCCAGCCCTGACGGCCAGGCCGGTGCCAGCAATAGGCCCTCGCTCTCTGCCAGAGAAACAAAAACAAAACATTAAAAATTAGCTTAGAATCTAAAATTATAAAACACATCAGGAAACCAGCCGTCAGAGTGGAAGTCAGTAGACATACTGCACCTAAGAACTTCAGACAGTAGAAAAAGCCAAGATAGAATAAATATAACTAAACTTAGAGTTATTACGGCTGTAAAAAAGGATTCAAAACATGAGAAAACAGTGAAACCTTATTTTAAAAAGAAAGACCAGCAAATGTGAAAATGGTCAAATTATTTTTTAGAAATAAAAAGTGACAGAAAACTCAATAGATGCATTCAATAGCAAATTAGATACATCTGAAGAATTTGTAAACTGAAAGCGAAAGGCAAAGAAATTCGGCAGACGCTGCAGAAATTAGACAGAAATTAAGACAGAGGATGTATTAAGATCCAGATGTGTCTCATAGGAGTTAGAGAAAGGAAAAGTACAGAACGTGGGGGAAAAGCAATCTTCAAAAAGATAATGTTGGAGACTTTCCCAAACGTGAAGAAAAACATGATTCTCAGGGAGCACATGCCCTGAAGAGAATAAATAAAAATAAATTTCCACTAAGGTGCGCCAGACCGGAACCAATCTGGGAGGAGAGATGCAATTGGAGAGGTGGGTGGGAGCCAGATAAGATCGCGCTGGGTTTTAGGCAGAGGATTGATAGTGTTTAATTTGCATTTTTGACAGATCCTTCTAGCACTTCTGTGAAGAACG